CCTGCGGCATGGGCGAGATGGCGGTAGAGGTGGTGGAGGAAGATCCGGGGGCGGATGAACACGGCGACCGCCCGCCGGCGCCGCCGCCGGACACCGCCGACTGGTCATGGTACGAAGACTTGTGGGGCCCGCCGGCTCAGCGACTGACGAGGCCCGGCGCCAAACCCCCATCTTCCTCACACCCACCCGGCTCAAGGCCGCCGGGGAGGCCGCCGAGGCCCGGGTCCGCGCCGGCGGCCTCGAGCGCGACACCGCGCTCATTCTGGGAGAACTGGCCCACCAGGTGCTCGAGCACTGGGACTTTCAGACCCCAACGGGTGGAGGAAGACCTCGATGAAGCCATCGCCCGGCATGCCCCCGAGCTGCCGGCGGCACAGCACCGGGTGGTGGTCCGGGAGCTGAAGGCCATCTGGGCCACGCTGACGGGTTCGCCGGTCTACCAGGAACTCCGAGGCGCCCGGATCCTGGGCCGGGAGATCCCCTTCGTCCTGCCCTGGGACGGCCAGATCATGGAAGGCGTCATCGACCTGGTCTACGAGCGGCAGGGACAGCTCTACGTCGCCGACTACAAGACCGACCAGGTGACCGACGGGGACATCGCCGGAGTCATGCACGACTACCGTCACCAGGCACAGGTCTACACGGAGGCCGTGAGGCGCGGCCTGAACCGGGACGTGGCCGCGTTCCGGTTGATCCTCCTGCGGCTGGGACGCGGGGTGGATGTGCCCGCCGGAAGCCCGTCCGAGTAGGCGGTCGTAGCTAGTGTTGCGTTCCACAAATACGTTGACGAATGTGCGCAGGATTTTTCGTCGTCGGCAAGGCGCGATGACTTGTAGGGGCGACCGGCGGTCGCCCCCCAGTGGCCGTTACCACGCGAGGAAGAGCAACGCAGCCGACGGCGAAAAAGACCAGCAGATTCGTTAACGTATTTGTGGAACGCAACACTAGAGGCAGGGAAGTGGAAGCCTCCTTGCTCCGACAAGCTCCCAGTGTGGTGTCTCACAAATACGGTTATGAAGCTGCGAGGGCATTTTGGTTGTCGGCAAGGCGCGATGACTTGTAGGGGCGGGTTTCAAACCCGCCCGTGTGGCCAACACCACGCGAGGAAGAGCAACGCAGCCACGGCCAAAAGGACCCGCAGATTCATAACCGTATTTGTGAGACACCACACTAGAATCGACGACAGACATCCATGAGAAGCGAGCCCCATTTCACCGCGGAGAAGATGCTGTCCAGGCTGGGGGTCAAGCCCGGCGCCCTCGGCAAGATCGCGCTGGTCCCCGGTCCTCGGGACCGGGCCGCGAAGCTGAGGCGCGCGCTGGGGAACCCTCGCAAGACCCTCGCCTTCCAGGACTACGAAATGCACACGGGTACGCTGGGCCCTCACCGCGTCACCGTGGGCAACGGCGGGCGCTACTCCGCGGACACCGCCATAACCACGGAGCTGCTGTGCGCCGGCGGCGTGGAGACCCTGGTGCGGGTAGGAAGCTGCGGGTCGCTCCAGGAGACAGTGAAGCTCGGGGATATCGTCATCGCCACCGGCGCGGTTCGCGGCGACGGCGCCAGCCCCCGCTATGTGCCAGAGGACTTCGACACCCTTGCCCACCCGCGGGTGGCGGAGGCGCTCGCACGTGCCGCCGACAGCCTCGGGGTGCCGGTGCACCACGGCCGGGTGTTCACCACCGACGCGCTGTTCCGGGAGACGCCGGAGCTCCTGTCCGAGCTGGAGCAGCAGCAAATCATGGCCATCGACATGGTCACTGCCACGTTTCTGACAGTGGCCCAGGTCAAGAACGCCAGGGCCGGCGCCATCCTGGCGGTCTCGGATGAATGCCTCACCGGCAAGCTGGGATTCCGCGACCCATTGTTCCGGCAGGCCGAGGAACGGATCATGGAGATCGCCTTGAAGGCCGTGAAGTGGCTCTGAACGGTCCTTCGACTTCGCTTCGCTACGCTCAGGACGAACGGTGGGAGACACTCCACAACGGATTTTACAGCCGTTCGTCCTGAGCGTAGCGAAGCGAAGTCGAAGGACCTCCAGCCTGTTGTAGGGGCGGGTTTCAAACCCGCCCGCGCCACAGCGCCGAGACCCGGTGAACGGCAGTGCCGACAACGGTTTGGCGAACCGCCGGGTTTCGTATTAGAAGAGCCGAAAAACGAGACGAGATACATGGGAGAGCGTTCTACAGGTCCGCGGCGCGAGATCATCCGATGGGGCGAGCGGCTGTTCGAGCGCCATCTGGTCAGCGGATGGGGCGGCAACCTCAGTTGCCGTTTCGGCAGGAGCCGTTACCTGATCACCGGATCGCACGCGGCGCTGGGCTTTCTGAACACGAAGGACATCGTCGAAATCGACGCCCGGGGAAAGGCCGTGAATCCGGGCCGGCACCCTTCGAGCAAACCCCGCTGCACCTGGCCGTATACGAGGCCACGGATGCCCGAGCGGTGGTCCACGTCCATCCGCCCGAGATCATCGCCTATTGCCGTGACCGGAGCGAATTCGTACCCTTGAGCTTCGAGGAAGAGTATAGTCTGGGCCGGGTGCCGGTGATTCCCCACGACGGCCCGACGGTCACGGACCCGGGGCCGGTGGCGGAGGCGCTGCGGCTCCACCCGGTGGTGATCCTACAGGGCCACGGTACCGTGGCCCGCGGCCGCGACCTCAAGGAGGCGTTCCTGATCACCGATCTTTTGGCGGAAGCCGTGCACTGCCGGCTGGTGATGCCTGACGAACCGAAAACGCCGGCCTAGGGGCCAAGCTCCTATGATCCGGTCCAAACCGTTGCATTCCTGCAAGGAGGACGAACCATGAGACCGAATTATCTTTCCATGCTCCGAACCATCCTCGGCATCGCTCTCATTGCGATGACCGCAACCGCGGCTTCGGCCGAGGACTTCTACAAGGGCAAGACGCTGCGCATCATCGTGGGCTCCGCTCCGGGCGGAGGCTTCGATGCCTACGCGCGGCTCGTGGCCGGCACCTCGGCAAGCACATACCGGGGGCCCCGAGGACCCTGGTGGCCAACATGACCGGGGCCGGCAACCTCATCGCGGCCAACTACATGTACAACAAGGCAAAGCCGGACGGCCTCACCATCGGCCACTGGGTGGGGACCCTGGTGCTGCAGCAGGTCCTGGGGAACAAAAGGGTCCAGTTCGATGCCCGGAAGTTCGAATGGATCACCGTCCCGAAGCCCAGCTACACGGCGTGCGTCGTGGCCAAGGACAGCGGCATCACCAACATGGACCAGTGGCTCGCGGCGAAGCAGCCGCTCAAGCTGGGCGGCATGGGGCCCGGGAGCTCCATCTCGGACATCCCCCGGCTGGTGGGCGCCATCACGGGGGTGCCGCTCAAGCTGGTGGAGGGCTACGGCGGGGCCGCCAGGGTCCGTCTGGCCATCGAGAAGCGGGAGGTCTTCGGCGGCTGCTGGAGTCCCGACGTCATCCTCTCGTACTGGCCGAAGAGAATCCCCGGGGAGCTGAACTTCGTGGTGCAGGTGGGCGTCGGCAGACACCCCGAGCTCTCGGACGTGCCCAACCTCCTCGAATTGGCCAAGACCGAGGACCAGCGCCAGTTCGCGGGCGTGGTGGGGCGCAACGCCCACGAGATCCTGCGGGCCTTCTCGCTGCCTCCAGGCACGCCGAAAGCCCGCGTGGAGCTCTTGCGCAAGGCCTTCGCGGACACCTTCAAAGACCCCGAATTGCTGGCCGAGGCGAAGAAGGCCAAGCTTATCATCAATCCCATTCCCGGACCCCGAGTCGTTGAGGCGGTGAACGAGTTCTTTCAACTCGACGCCGAGCTGATGGCCAGGTTGAAGAACATCCTGGTCCCGAAACAGTGACGGACGTCAGGGTACGGGCGCGGAGGGCGGAGGGCTGCGCATGATCGTGGAGGCCCACTGCCATCCCGTTCGGACCGCCCGCCTACCGGGACCTGCGCGACAAGATCCGCAGCGTCCCGGACTGATCGGCTTCCGCCGCAACCATCCGGAGCTCTACCATGCCCGGGACGCCGAGCCGCTGGTGGATTACGTGGACGAGTTGATCGCGGACATGGACCGGTACGGCGTGGACAAGGCCCTCATCATGACCACCGGCGGTTGCGACAGCCCCGACGAGAAGGACGAGAAGACCGCGGCCGCCGTGGCGCGGTATCCGGACCGGCTGTACGGGCTCGCGAGCCTCGGGGAAGACTATTCGGGCAACGGCGTCTGGGAGAACGCTCCGGCACTCCGGGCAGCGGCGCCCAAGCAGATCGCCGACCGCATCGAGCGCCTGGGATTCAAGGGCATCGGCGAATCCCACGGAGGCCCCTTCACGACGGAGACGCATCCGGTCAGGATCGCCGACGACCTGCGCCCCATCATGGAGACCCTCGCCGACTACCGGGTGCCGCTCCTGATCGCCACGGGCTGGACCCAGTTTCCCGGGCGTATGTATTATGCCGATCCCATCTACGTGGACGAGATCGCCGGACGCTACCCCGAGGTCCCCATCGTCTTGACCAAGATGGGACGTGCCATCCAGCACTACTTCGAATCGGCGCTGATCGTTGCCATGCGCAACCCCAACGTGTATTTCGATACCACTTCCACCACCGCCGGGCATCTGCGCCGGGCCGTGGAAACCATCGGCGCCGACCGCATCATGTTCGGCACGGACTGGTCGCCCACCTGGAGGTGCGTGGAGGTGCCGGAGCCGCTGTACCCCGCGAGGCTCAAGGTCGTCGAGGAGTCGGGGATTTCGGACGAGGACGTTCAGCAGGTGCTGTGGAAGACCGCGGTGGAGCTGTACGGGTTGTAAGGGAACCAGGATCGGCAGTTTGCGTTCATCCTTCGACTTCGCTTCGCTAAGCCTGTCCTGAGCTTGTCGAAGGGCTCAGGACGAACGGTTGTGGAATGTTCCTCTCCGTTCGTCCTGAGCGTAGCGAGGCGCAGCCGAGCGAAGTCGAAGGAAGCGTAGCGAAGTCGAAGGGCGGCATCGTAAAGGAGGATTCAATTATGCGTTTGGACGGGAAGGTCGCGATCGTTACGGGCGGGGGCATCGGCATCGGCCGTGCCTACTCCAAGGGACTGGCGCGGGAAGGCGCCAAGGTCGCCGTGGCCGACATCCAGGTGGAGGCCGCCACCCAGGTGGCGGCGGAGATCAACAAGGACGGGGGCGAGGCAATACCCGTGGCGGTGGACGTCAGCTCGCCGGAAAAGACCCGCGAGATGGCCGATGCGGTGCTGAAAGCCTACGGGCGTATCGACATCCTGGTGAACAACGCGGGCCTGTACACCGCGCTTACCAAGAAGTCCTTCATGGAGATCCCCGAGGACGAATGGGACCGGGTCATGGCGGTGAACGTCAAGGGCCTGTTCCTGTGCGTGCAGGCGGTCTACCCGGCCATGAAGGAGCAGGGCAAGGGCAAGATCATCAACATCTCCTCGGGGACCATCCTGGGCGGCACGCCGATGTTCCTTCACTACGTGTCGTCCAAGGCCGGCGTCTTGGGATTCACCCGGGCACTGGCGCGGGAGATAGGAACCGACAACATCTGCGTCAACGCCATCATGCCCGGCCTCACCATATCGGGCGACAGCCAGGAGGGCGTCACCACCCCCCAGCAACTGGAGAACCGGCGCAAAAGCCGGGCGTTCCAGCGGGACCAGTACCCGGACGACCTGGTGGGCACCGTCATCTTCCTGTCCTCCGACGACAGCGACTTCATCACCGGCCAGTCCATCAGTGTGGACGGCGGCCAGCACATGCACTGACGCGGGCGCGAACGTTACGCGCCCTCCTCTTCCCGCGAAACAGGGCGTGTAAAAACGCCGACTTCGAGGTGCGAAAGGCCAATCCGTCATTCCCGCGAAAGCGGGAATCCAGGGGTGGTGGAGCGGGGAAACGCCGCTGTAGCACCCCACCCCTGGATTCCCGCTTTCGCGGGAATGACGATTTCGGGGGTCTGTACCTCGCTGGAATGGCGTTTTGACACAGCCTGAAAGCGGGAATGACGATTTCGGGGCCATTGCCTCGCTCGGATGACGTTTTCGACACAGCCTGGAGAGCGGGAATCCAGGCGGGGTGTGGCGGAGAAACAAAAACATGACGAGTCTTGAACTGGCCAGCTACCGCGTGCGCGAGATCCGGCTCGGCCGGGAGACGCGCTACGCCTCCGGCGTTCTGGAGGTGAATGCCGAGGGACTGATCGCCTTCGTGCAGGAGGACTCGCGGGTGCGCTCCGCGAGCTTCGACGTGGTGCGCCCGGGCGAGAAGGCGCGGGTCACCGGCATTCGCGACGTGGTGGAGCCGCGGATCAAGACCGCCGGGACGGGCAGGTGTTTCCGGGAATCCTGGGGCCGGTGGCTCCCGTGGGCCAGGGGCGCACTAACCGGCTTTCGGGCATGGCGGTGGTCACGGCCGCGGCCTACGAAGGCACCGTCCGCACCGGCACCCACCTCCAACACGCAGCGCGATCCTGGACATGTGGGGTCCGGGCGCCGACATGACCCCGTTCGCTTCCCTGGTCAACCTGGTGCTGACCCTGGACCTGGAAGACGGACTGTCCGCGTACGAGGCGCATCAGGCCATCCAGCGCGCCGAGTTCGGCGTGGCCCTACGGCTCGCCGAAACCACCACGGAACTCGAGCCGGACGACGTGGAGATCCATGACCCGGACGCCGATGGAGCCGATCTCCCGTGCGCCGTGCTCATCATCGGCTGTTTCACCGAACCCGACAACAAGCCGTCCAACGTGGCCTACTACGGCTTGCCGGTTCAGGAGTCGCTGTCCACCATCATCCACCCCAACGAGCTCACCGACGGCGCCATCACCCCCAGCACCATCCGCACCGTCAGCTATCATCCCATCACCTGGAACTGGCAGAACCACCCCCTGGCCCTGGAGCTCTTGCGCGACAAACGGTTCCGTTTCGCGGGCGTCATCCTGGAGCGCATCGGCTTCGAGACCTCCCGGGAAAAGGAGATCGCGGCCCACAACGCCGTCCGGGTGGCCGCTTCCCTCGGCGCCGACGCCGCCCTGATCACGCGCACGGGCTCGGGCAACGCCTTCATCGAGGTCATGCTGACGGTGAAAGGCTGTGAGGAGAAAGGCATCAAGACCGTCCTCGTCACCTACGAATACGGCGGCCAGGACGGCACCGACGCGCCGCTGCTCTACTACGAGGAGGCCGCGGACGCCGTGATCAGCACCGGCAACCGCGACACGGTGGTGGAATTGCCGGCGGCGGACCGGGTGGTGGGCGCCTATGACCGGCTCCAGCTCATCAACTATCCCGGAGCGCCTTACGTGTCCGCCGGCGACCCCTTGACGCTGGAAGCAAAGGACGTCATCGCCGGCGGCGTCGACATCTGGGGCGGGCGCGACCGGCTCTGCCGGCCGTACTAGCGTTGAATCGTGGATTTCGCGTGGGTGCCGTAATGACCCTTCGTGCCGGGTGAGGAACCCAACCACCTCTGGGGATCAACCCTCTAAGGGGCTGCTGGCATGTCGAGCATCAAGTCGCAGTGCTCACGCACGTCATCAGTAACTTGACTACCCAAGGCCACGAGAAAGAGCTGAGCGCCTTCGCGGCGAGCGAACTTCATTGCCGGCACGAAATCGCTATCGCCGGTCACCAGGACGATGATCTCGACGTGCTTCTAAGGTCAGGGAAGCGATATCCAGGCCAATCCTCATATCGACTCCCTTCTGGTGTACATTGGGTCGAAGGTCGTCGGTCGTAATCTGGAACAGAGGGTCGTCGGTCGGCAGTTTCAACGTGTTTAGAATCCAGCCTCGGAAACGCAAATCTCCCATTCTCAGGGCCACAAAGGGTACGCTTCGCAGTTCTTGATGCAGCCGTCGGTTGCTCCGCGCAAGTGCCGTATTGCCGAACTCCACGCTCCCACCCCCAAGCGGTTTGTTCTGCTTGGACACGAGAGGTGGTGCATCGTAAAAATAGACGCGGTGCAAGCGGTGGCTGGCGAGATCCGGGAGGACGGCCAGTTAGTCGACGAAATGTCGGACCTTACCAGCAGTCAGCGGTTCCTCACGCGATCCAAGTTTTCGTTTTAGAAAACCAGCATCGATGAGAACAGCGTAACTGCGCGGCTGCATGATTGAGAGCCCTGACTACGTTGAGGAACCTGACTGAGAGGTAGGATGCCGCCACCGCACGCGGAGCAAAAGCTCTCTTGGATTGTAGCGTGCGGCGCGGCGGTGTTTTTATCGAAAGAGAGCATAGCGCCAAGCCCGTGTTGGAGCAAACGTCTTGGAAGGAAAGGACTCAACCCGCTCCTACTCCGGATACAACGGCGCCCTGTACTCGGTTCCCGGCACCACGACACCGCCGGCCGGCCGTTCCCCTTCCTTCAGGTGGGCGAACCGGTCGCTGAACGCCGGCGGCAGCGGCCGCCCTCCGGGTGTGCCGAGCCAGAGACGCAGCAGGTTGCGCCTGCGCTCAAGCTCGGGGTAGTCCTCGAACTCGGTGCGCGAATGGGCCGTGACGTGGTTGTGCAATATCTGCATGTCGCCCTGCCGGAACTCCATGTCGTACGACAGCTCATTGCACAGATCGGCAAAGAGGGTCAGGGCCTCCTTGAGGGCCTCTGAGTGGCGCGGCAACTCCTCGAACCGCTGAGCCGAGCGGATATAGGTGCCGCCGCGCTGACGGTCAGAATGTCTTCGTAGAAGTTGAATATCGGGAGCTGCCACCACGGATCCTTGCCCTCCGGGACCTCGCCGCGCCGGTCACGGTAATTGGGGCCGGCCAGCTCCGCCACCAGTTCGGGCCGGCGCTTCAGCATCTCGTTGTAGACGTTGAGAGTGCTCGTGAACCGGCTGCTGCCGCCGGACTTGGCCGGGTGCAGACACATCAGCACCACCAGGTCGCAGGCATCGCAGTGAAACGGCAGCATGTCGTGGGTCTGGTAGCCGCGGTGCTGCGGGTTCTTGAGGGTGCCGCCGAGATCGGCCACGTGGCCGAGGAGGTGTCCCTTGGAGTTCTGGGACACGGGCTCGCCCATGAAGAGCCCGATTCCCCAGAAGGCGATGGCGGACTGCATGCGGCTGTAGCGTTCCAACGGAACGCCCCGTATGAGCCCAGGCCGCGGCCGTGGACGACGTCGGCGGCGATGCCGTCAAGCCGATCTCCCAGGGTCGACAGCACGAAATCCTCGCGGGTGATGTCCAGGATTCGAGCCCGCGTTCCTCCACCCCGCGCCACCGCCGCGTCCAGCTCCGCGATATCGCTTTCAGTCAGCGGGTGTATCCAGCCCTGGTCCGCGGCCAAGTCTTCCGCGGTCCAGCCGCCGGGTCCACCACGGGCTCATTCAGCACGGCCGGTTGTCTGACGATTTTCAGCATCGGTCTTCCTCCAAAGTTCCTGCAGCCCGATTCGCCCTGCTCGGAAGGGTGCCCTTCAACCTTCCCTACTCCGGATACAGCGGCGCCCTGTAGACGGTTCCCGGCACGACGATGCCGCCGCCCGGCCTTTCCCCGTCGTTAAGATGGCCGTAGCGGTCGCGGTACCTCGGCGGCAGCGGCCGTCCCTCGGGAGTGGAGAGCCACAGGCGCATGAGACTGCGCTTGCGCTCGGGCTCGGGGTAGTCCTCGAACTCGGTGCGCGAATGGCACGTGACGTGGTTGTGCAGGATCTGCACGTCTCCCTGAAGGAATTCCATATCGTACGACAGCTCGTCGCAGAGATCGCTGCAAAGTGTCAGCGCCTCCTTGAGGGCCTCCGAGTGGCGTGGCAGTTCCTCGAAACGCTGCGCCGAGCGGACGTACGTGCCTCCCACGTTCACGGTCAGGTAGCCGTCGCAGAAGTTGAACACCGGAAGCTGCCACCACGGCTCCTTGCCCTCGGGGATCTCGCCGCGCCGGTCACGGTAGATGGGCTCGGCCAGCTCCGCCACCAACTCGGGGCGACGCTTCAGCATCTCGTTGTAGACGTTAAGGGCGCTGGTGAAGCGGCTCAAGCCTCCAGACTTGGCCGGGTGCATGCACATCAGCACCACCACGTCGCTGGAATCGCAGTGAAACGGCAGCATGTCGTGGGTCTGGTAGCCGCGGTGCTTCGGGTTCTGGAGGGTTCCGCCGAGATCGGCCACGTGGCCCAGGAGGTGTCCCTTGGCGTTCTGGGACACGGGCATGCCGAGGAAGAGGCCGGTTCCCCAGAAGGGCGATGGCGGACTGACACACGGCTGTAGCGATCCACCGGCACGCCCCGTATGAGCGCTAGGCCGCGACCGTGGACGACGTCGGCGGCGATCTCATCGAGCCTGTCTCCCAGGGTCGGGAGCACGAAGTCGTCCCGGGTGATGTCCATGATGTCGAGCCCGCGCTCCTCCCACTCGCGCCACGGCCGCGTCCAACTCCGCGATGTCGCTCTCGGTCAGCGGGTGAATCCAGCCCTGGTCGGCGTCCAGGTCTTCAGCGGTCCAGGCCGCGGGGTCCACCACGGGCTGATTCAGCACGGCCGGTTGTCTGACCATTTTCAGCATGGTTCTTCTTCCGAAGCTCTAAACACGCATTCGCTTCCCAACCTCCGTTCGCCCTGAGCGTAGCGAGTCCTGAGCTTGTCGAAGGGCGAGCGAAGTCGAAGGGCGTTGTTTCGATCTACGGGTGTTATCACAGGCTCTCCACCTTGGCGATACGGCACGGCAACCCGCGCGTGTCCGCCGACCCGGTCACCGGGTCCCATGGTCCATCATAGCGCATGGCGGCGTTAATGTTCACCTCCAACGCGCCGCGGTGAGGCCCCTCGGCCTCCGGGTACCACCAGCCCATGCCGGTGCGCGCCACCCCCGGCAGGGTCCCCTCGGTGACGCGGACCTTCAGGCGGCAGCGGCCCGGGCCGCCGGCAGTCTCCACCCATACCCAGTCATCGTGGGCCACACGGTATAGCGTAGCCGTCTCCGGGTGCAGTTGAAGCCAGGGATCGGGCGAGACCTTGCGCGCCCAGCCCTGGTCGCGGAACCGCGAGTGGTGATAGGTGCGCTCCCGCACCCCGGTGAGCAGTGTCAGCGGGTAGGCGTCGCGCACGGCGGGCGTCTCCCGCTCCGCCCGGGTCGGCGTGTAGTCGGGCAGCGGGTCGAGCCCGAGCTCCGCGAGCCGCTCGGAATAGAGCTCAACCTTGCCGGTTTTCGTCTTGAACCCGGCCTTCTCGAAGTCACCGTACGTAAACGGAAAGTCCGCGTACCCCTTCTCCCGCATCTGCTCCACGGTGACGCCGCAGTCGCCCAGCAGGAACTCGTTGAACTCGCGCTTGGTCTCCCAGGGAATGAACCGCCGCGCTCCAGCGACGCCACGGGTTTCGATGCGCCGCGCCAGATCGCGGGCGATGCGGAAGTCGCCGCGGGCCTCCCCCTGGGGCTCCACCACCGGCTGGATCAGGCTCAGGCACGGCCCGGAGCCCTCCAGCGACACCTCCTCGTCCTCCAGACCCGGTTGTCTTGGGCAGCACGATGTCCGCGTATCGGCGGTGGGGTTCATCATGTGGGTGGCCACCGCGAAAAAATCCAGGGACTTGAGCGCCGCCAGGGTCTTTGGCGTGTCGGGATAGGTGATCACGATGTTCACGCCGCTGACGTACATGGCGCGCACCGGGTAGGCCTTGCCGCTGAGGACCGCCTCGATCACCGACGGATTGTGGCACGACGTCTGCCAGCCCTCGGGCCCCGCCCACAACGGGAAGCGGTCCGCGCCGATGGTCTGCTTCTCCACCTCCAGGGGCAGCCGGAACTCGGGCTTGTGCAGCACCTCGATATAGTTGGTGAACCCCGCCGGCCGCTTCACGCGCCGGTTGCCGCCCTCGCGGTCCAGGTTGCCGCTGATGGCCACCAGGCAGTGGAAGGCGCGAAAGGTCTGGACGCCGGCGCTGAAGGCGTCGATGCCGTGCCCGCTCACGAAACACGACGGGCCGTCGGCATACAACTCCGCCGCCCGTTCGATATCCGCCCGCGGCACCCCGGTGAGCTCCGCCGCGCGCTCCGCCGGGTACTGCGCCGCCCGCTCGGCCAGCGCATCGAAGCCGTGGCACCAGCGCTCGACGAAATCGCGGTCGTAGCGATCGTGCTGCACCAGCCAGTGGATCATCGCCAGTCCGATGGCGGCATCCGTGCCGGGCCGGGGCCTCAGCCACACGTCCGCGATGGCCGCCGCCGGGGTCTCGCCGGGATCGATGACCACGATGCTGGCACCCTTTGCCCGGGCGCGCTTGAGCGCCTGCCACTGCGGCGGGTCGGCCGCATACGGATTGCGCCCGACGATGAGCGCACAGCGGGTGTTGTCGATATCCTCGCCCTTGCCGATGGCCAGCCCCGTGATCCGGTCGCTCAACGCCCGACACCCGCCGCAAAGGTCCTGGTTCATCATCCAGTTGGGCGAACCGAAGGCGCGCAGCAACAGCGCCAGCGCCACCCCGCGGCTGAAGTGCGCGTTGCTCACCGCGCCGCAGAGCGCCGTCGGGCCGTACCGGTCGCGCACCGCCAGCATCGCGTCCGCCATCTCATCCAGTGCCTGGTCCCACGACACCCGCTGCCACTGCCCCCCACCCCGCGGCCCCGTGCGCTTCATCGGATGGAGCACCCGGTCCGGATGATACGTCAGCTCCGGCAAACCCCGGATGCCCTTCACGCAGAACGCCCCCAGCGAAGCCGGATGCTCCGGGTTGGGCGACACCCGCGTTACGCGGCCGTCCTCGACGGTGACCAGCGATCCGCAATGGGCGCTGCACTCCCAGCAGGTGCTGGGGATGATGGCTTTACCGTGGTTCATGGCGTGATGATCTGAGTTACCTTTACCATTTCCCGGGCGAATTCGGCATTAGCTCTGCTCGCCGCTTGGCCTACCGAGTTTCTCAATCCTCATCCACTATCGCGGTGGCGCAACAGAGACTTCCTCGACCGCCGTCATAGCGAACCAATGCAATGCTAGTCCGTGTCGTTGCGCCTTTCAAGCTTAATAGCGTATGGAAAAAATTGGGGTGCACACTAGTGGAGGGCATCGTTGGAGCTGGCGTGGCCCAAACCCGCCTGTCATCGCCTTCACTGTCAGAATGTCTCCAGGTAATCGCGATCGCTTATCATCAGCATCAAGAACACTTCGGGCGAGAAATAGTGGCGCTTGACACTAATAGCGCGAAACGCTACGTTGTCCCGTGATCAAGAGTTATGGTGACAAGGACACCCAAGCCGTTGCGGACCGCCGCCGGGTGCGCAGGTTTGCGGCGGGAATCCAACGACGAGCGCAGCAAAAACTCATGATCCTCAACAATGCCCGGGACCTGAACGATCTTCGGGTGCCGCCGGGCAATCGATTGGAGGCCCTCGCCGGCGATCGGAAGGGCAAGTACAGTATCCGCGTTAACGACCAGTGGCGACTATGCTTTTGTCTGGCGGAACGGTGACGCCTATCAGGTGGAATTGGTGGACTACCACTAAGGGATGGAGAGGTAATCACAATGCCGGGCTCGCACGATACACGTAAAGCCAAGCTCCCTCCCATTCATCCGGGGGAGATACTCAACGAAGAATTTCTTCGACCCCTGGGCATAACGCAGTACCGTCTCGCCAAGGCGATCGGCGTTGACGTGCGTCGGATTCATGCCATCGTGCACGGCCAGCGCGCCATTACGGCCGAGACCGCGCTGTTGTTGTCCCGCTTCTTTCAAAACTCCGGCGGAATTCTGGATGGGGCTGCAAAGCCAGTATGAGTTGGAGTTGGAGCAGGATCGACTGGCGGAAAAACTGGCAGGGGTGTCCGCGTACCCTCGTACGCATGACGCCCACACGCAGGCCCGGTGAGTCATGACGGACCGTGAACGTCCTCGCGAGACCCCTTCGGTCTTGACCCCGGAACAAGTGACGGACCGGCTCAACGCCTTGTACGGCGCAGGCGATCCGGGTTCGGCGCTGGACGAAGTGCTTGAGGCTCTGCAATTTCTATCGTTGCCCGCCGATGACAAGTGGGATCAACCTGGAAACACGCAAAGGAAACCAAGGTGATGGTGGAGTTCCCTGCAATCGTTTCGACTTTTGACACGGGCTGCCCTTGCCGTGTTCGCGGAGGGCCTGACTCATGGTCGTAGACTTCCAGCATCACTACGTGCCGGAGCAACTCGCGCGCGCGAAGGGCTCTACTCCGACAAAGTCACGGTGGCCACCGAGGGCGGCGTCCCGCGGATGACCCTTCATGCGAAGCTCTACGACTGCGGAGGCGCAGCTTCGGGACATGGACGAGGCTGGGGTGGACGTGTCGGTGGTGTCCTGCCATCTGGGTTGGGACGGGAGTCTCTGAGGATTGCAGGGTCATCAATGACAGCTACGCGGAGCTGGAGCGGGAGTATGGCGGGCGGTTCGTCGGGCTGGCGCATGCGCCGGTCCTTGAGGGGGACGAAGCGCTGGACGAGCTGGATCGGGCGATCCTGGAGCGCGGGCTCCACGGGGTGACCATCACTTCACAGGTCGGCGGCCTCTTTCTGGACTCCCCGGAGCTGGACAGGTTCTATGCGCCGGGTCGCGCGGCTCGACGTTCCGATATTCGTGCACCCGGCGCTGGTGCCCAAGGGGTATGACTCCATACAGGGCTACGACCTGCCGCGGATCATCGGCCGGGAGATCGATCTCACCATCGCCACCATACGGCTGATCTGCCGGCGGGGTGCTGGACCGCCACCCGGAGATCGACTTCGTCATCGGACACTTCGGCGGCGGCATCGCGCGTTCAAGGACCGGCTGGTGGCCATGGCGCACCGGTTCGGTACGTTGAAGCACTCGTTCGAGGAGTACCTGGACCGGCTCTATTTCGATATCTCCGGGTTCGAGGGAGGCATCACGGCCTTCCGTTGCGGGCTGCTCGGCATCCGCCCGGAACGGCTTGTGTTCGCCACGGACTATCCGCAGAACTTCACCGGCGTGAGCACGGAAACCGGCAAGGGCAACCAGGCCATCCGTGAATACATCGAGGCGGTCAGGAATCTGGAACTTGACGAGCAGGTCAAGGAGGATATCCTGGGCGGCACGGCCGCAAGGCTGTTGAAACTGGGGCACTGAAACCACTGTCTCTGCACGGAGGTCCCATGAAATTCCTTGGCCTCATTCTACTGGCTGTGCTCGTCGGCGCGCCGCTCTCCGGGCCGGTCCAGGCCGGAGAAGTTGTGGAGGTCGTGCTGGTCGACCGCCTGGACGACCAGCGAGGCTTTTGCCTGGACATTCTCGGCTACAAGCAGCGGGCCAAGCTCGACAAGGGTCTCCAGGGCACAGTTGCTACAGCTACCAGGGTCAGATCGCCGTGACCAGGGATTCGACAGCGACGCCATCAAGGCGGGGCGGTTCCACATGCCCGGCTTCGACGTGTGCATGACCGCGGGTACGGCCCAGGCAGGCGGCGGCTGGGGCTGGGAAAATGTGACGGATCGCCGGCGCAGGGCTTCTCGATGACGGCCAAGGGCGAGATCGTTTCCAAGAGCGCGCCGAAGCTGTGCGTGACCGTGGCGGGCGGTGAATCTAGGCAGGGAGGAGGCGGCCGGCCGGTGCATCTCATTCGCGCCTGAACCCTGGAGGCTGTGACGATGCCGCGCCAAGTACCAGCTTTGGCGCGTGCGCACCAAGGCCGACTAGAGCCAGCGACCGACCGAGCGCGGGCGGGTTTGAAACCCGCCCCTACGGTTCTGAGTGTCCCGGGCCTTGCTGTATCCTACGAACTGCTTGCCCTGTGGCAGCCCTACACCCCGGCCCTCTCCCTGAGGGAGATGGTTCGTGAGGCGATGGTCGTCGGGATCGGCTACCCCAGCGCGAACAGCGCCTTCGGGTTCTGATTGATGATCTTCTCGTACTGGGGCGCGGTGATGCTGCCGAGCTCCTTCAGATTCCGGAGCGCCTCGATCTCGGTGGACTGGTCGTTGTGGCCGTAGTCGGTGCCGATGACGAGGTTGTCCTCTCCGGAATACTTGAAGATGTAGTCCACGTCGTCGTCCGTCTGGCACGACACGTACTGCCGGTACTCCTTGAGCGGGTTGTCCGGAAAGTCCTTGCCCTGGGCTCCCCAGCGGCGTTTCAGGTCCTTGACCACGTACGGCACCCACAGCGCCGCGGCCTCGGCCCAGTGAAAGCGGAGCTTGGGAAACCTCTGCGGCAGTCCGCCCATGATCACGGAGTGGAATGCGCCGATGACGGGGATACGGAACTTCCAGAAGCTGCCGCCGCCGTTGTACTGGGACACGAGGTCCTCTTCCTGCGGATTACCGTTTCCGACGTGGACGCCCACGGCCATGTCGAGCTCGCTCATCTTCTCGTACAGGGGATAGAAGTAGGGGTCGGTCAGCAGCCGGCGCCCCTCGATGCCGCGCATGAAGACCCCGCAGGCGCCGTGCTCCTTGCAGAACTGCAACTCCTCCAGTGAGGCGTCCATGTCGAGAAACGGCAGGACGCAGATCCATCGCAGCCGTCCCTTCCCTTGCTGGTGGATGTCCGCGAGCCAGCGGTTGTAGCCCTTGCAAATGGGGATCTCCCACTCGGGCTTCTCGGTGATCTGCTCGATGAAAATGGTCGGATAGAGTACCTGGATGTCGATGCCCAGTTTCATCCATGTGCTTGACCCGCGCGTCCACGTTCTCCATCTCGCGGGTTTCCTGGGGCGTGAACATCACGCGGCCGGTGCGGTCGGCCACCTTGTCGAGCTCGTGGGCGGTCATGACGATCCGCACCAGACCGCGGATCTTTCCGTCGATGAACCAGTATTCGCCGCCCTGATCACCGCTCGGCTTGACGACGATGGGACGGTACTTCTGGTCCGCCGCATCCATGTAGTCCCAGGTACGTTCGGATTCGACGACGTGAGCGTCGGCATCGATGGTCGGCATGGTCAATACCTCCTGAATGTATAGACGTTCGATGCAGGTTCGCTGGTGAGTTGTCCGTAGCCTGCTTAACACCTTTTCCACGGCAGAATCCAGCGAAAACGGCGGCTCCCGATCCCTTGACAAAAAACACGCCTGCAACTACTTCACGAAATGGTACTTGGAACAAGACACTCAGGCCGACACCGCCTGGGAGAAAAGGAAAGCGCCATGCCAACGAAGACTCGGGCCGCAATCCTGGTCGAATCGCGCAAGCCCCTGGTGGTGGACGAGGTCACGCTCCCGGATCCCGCACCCGATCAGGTTCTTGTGAAACTCTTCGCCAGCGGCATCTGCCACTCCCAGCTCCACCAGATCCACCGGACGCCGGAGGAGCAGCGGTCCAAGCTGCCGGCGCTGCTGGGGCACGAGTCCACCGGCGTGGTGGTGGCCAAGGGCCGCGACGTCACCCACGTGAAGGAAGGCGACCGGGTCTTCACCACCTGGGTCGACCGCAACGCCCCCGAGTCGCCGCTGCCGCCGGTGTCCCATGCCCTCAACATGCGGCCGCCCATCCCGGCCGTCTGGCGCGGCGAATCCATCTGGGCCTCGGCGTCCACCTGGGCCGAGTACGTGGTGGCCTCCGAACGGGTCGTGCTTCCCCTGGACGACGACGTGGACACGGAGGTGACCTCCATCATCGGCTGCGCGGTGACCACCGGTTCGGGAGCCATCATCAACACGCTGAAAGTGCGTCCGGGGCAATCGGTAGCCGTCTACGGGGTGGGAGGCATCGGCATGTGCGCCATCTCGGCCGCGGCGGTGGTGGACGCCTACCCGCTCATCGCGGTGGATCTGGACGACGAGAAGCTGGAGTTCGCCAAGGGCTTCGGCGCCACCCACTGCATCAACGCCGGCAAGGTGGACGCCGTCGAGGCCATCACCGAGCTCACCGGCGGCGGCGCGGACTACGCCCTGGACGCGGTGGGGCATCCCACCACCCAGGAGCAGATCCTGCGCTCCGTGCGCACCGGGGCTCCCGGCTTGAGCGCGGCGGGACCGCCCTTCTGATCGGCCTGCCGCCCTCGGGCGCAACGCCGCTCATCAACACCAATCTCTTCGCCGGAGGGCGCTACTTCACCCGCACCCACGCCGGCGACTGCCTCCCGGACCGCGATTTCCCGACCTTCGTCCGCTGGTACCGGGAAGGCAAGTTGAAACTCGACGATCTGGTGACGCGCCGCTATACCCTGGACCAGGTCAACGAGGCCGTGACCGACCTGACGGAGGGCAAGATCCTGGGCCGGGCGATCTTCACGTATGCGTGAGGCGCGTCGACTTCGCTCCGCTGGCGTATACGCCGGGGAGTGTCGGGTTACGCCTTCGGCTAACCCGACCTACGTGGGAGTACGTGAGAGACGTGCCCTGAGCAGTAGAACCGTAGGTCGGATTGGCGAAGCGTAATCCGACATTGAGCGGCGCGGCAACGCCCCGACAAGCCATTGACCACTTTCGCATAGACCACTTTTGGAGGACGACCCATGTACATTGACTGCGACACCCACTATTTCCCGGTGAAATTCCTGGAAGGCATCAGCGACCAATACCCTGACTCCCCGCGGGTGGTGCGGAAGGGCGACGAGGTCAAGTCCGTGCTGCCGACGGCACGCTCATCAAGAACCAGGCCCCCAAGGGGCGCTGGGACCTGGACGTACGGGTGCAACAGGCCGACTTCGAAGGGTTCGACAAGCACGTCCTCATCCCCGAGAACCGGGAGTTGCTGTACACCTGGGACCGCGACCTCGGTTGCGAGCTGGCCCGGCGCTACAACGACGCGGTGGCCCAGGACCTCGCGGCATGCGCCCATCCGGAGCGCTACATCGGCGTCGGCTGGGTGTTCCTGCCGGACGCGGAAGAGTCCTGCAAGGAGCTCGACCGGATGGTGAACCAGCTCGGCATCAAGGCCGTGAAGTTCATGGGCGGCTTCGAGGACGCCAACCTGGGCGCGGAGCGGCTGTGGCCGGTCTACGACAAGGTGTGCCAGCTCGACATCCCCATTCTCGTGCACGACACGGCGTCGGACCGCCAGGACCATCCCAACCCGGCCCTGGTGGGCATCGAGCAGCTCTATCTGGAGGCCGACAACAACGCCCTGCCCTTCCTGCTGGCGTTTCCCTTCCGCTACATCGTGGACATGGGGAGCCTGATCCTGCGCGGCGCGCTGAAGGAGTTCCCCGACCTCCGAATCTGCTTCGTGGAAGGCTCGGCCGCGTTCGTGCCCTGGCTCATGAACCGCCTGGACATGGACCCCAACGGCCGCAAGAAGCTCGGCAAGGACCCCAGCGAGTTCTTCAGCCAGATCTGGGTGTCGGCCTTCGCCGCGGAAACTTCCATCCGCTACGCCTGCGACTTCTGGAAGGACCACAACCTCACGGTAGGCAGCGACTACCCGCACAACGATCCTTCCGGCACCTGGAAGGAAGGCACGGTCCGGATGGTCCGCGAGCTCGAAGGCATCTCCGACGACGACAAGGAAAAGATCCTGGGCGGCAACGCCATGCGGCTGTTCGGTATGTAGCCGGGAAAATAGCCAGGGACAAGGCGAACAAAGATGAAAGAACAGGCCATCCGGCGGCACACGTTTCCGCCGTCTTTCCAGCCGTTTATCCAGAATATCCGGAAGTCGTTTGACAACCCGAAGTTCTTCCGATTTAATTAAGCTACTTAACTTATCGGAAAAGGAGACAATTCTATGGCGCTTCACATTGGGGAGGAAGCTCCCAACTTCACCGCCGAGACCACCGAAGGAACCATCGACTTCCACGATTGGATCGGCGACGGCTGGGCGATTCTGTTCTCGCATCCCAAGGACTTCACGCCGGTGTGCACCACCGAACTCGGCTACATGGCCGGCCTCAAGTCGGAGTTCGCGAAGCGGAACTGCAAGGTCGTCGGCCTGAGCATCGATCCGGTCACCGATCACAAGGAGTGGGCCAAGGACATCGAGGAGACCCAGGGCCACGCGGTGAACTATCCGATCGTCGGCGACTCCGACATGAAGGTGGCCAAGCTCTACGACATGCTCCATCCCGAGGCCAGCGGACCCTCCGAGGGCCGCACCGCCGCCGACAACGCCACCGTGCGCTCGGTGTTCGTCGTCGGGCCGGACAAGAAGATCAAGCTGATGCTCACCTATCCCATGACCACCGGACGCAACTTCGACGAGGTCCTGCGGGTGGTGGATTCCATGCAGCTCACCGCCAAACACCAGGTGGCGACGCCGGTCAACTGGAAAGCAGGCGACGACGTCATCATCGTGCCCTCGGTTTCGAACGAGCAGGCAAAAGAGAAATACCCCGACGGCTGGAAGACCCTGAAGCCCTATCTCAGGCTGGTCGCCCCGCCGAAGTAAACGGCTATCCGCGGCGGGTCCGAAGCCCCTCCCCGAGGCCTCCCAGGGGCCTGCGCCGCGGGAAGACGAAGGTGTAGGGGCGGGTTTCAAACCCGCCCGTGCACGCACAGCGCGATCATGCGGGCGGGTTTGAAACCCGCCCCTACACCTGTCCGTCGCACATCTCGGCAAGGAGTCACCCGTGCGTTTCTCCATTCATACCCCTGCCCGTAACGCCGATCAGATCACGCGCCGGGCGGTGGCTGCCGAGGCCCTGGGCTTCCACGGTCTGTTCTTTGCCGACGGACACCTGAACAACCTGGACGGATTCCAGGCCATGACCGTGTGCGCGCTCCGAACGGAGCGGCTCCGCTTCGGCATCGCCGCCACCACCATGGCCTACCGCGACCCCACGACCCTGGCCTTGTCCGCGGCCACCTCCAACGAGTTCTCCGGCGGCCGGGCGATCCTCGGACTGGGGACCGGCGACGGCTCCACCTACCGGCTCGGGCGCAAGGCCACCCGGCTGACCGAGTTCGCCGCCGGGCTGGCCACCATTCGCGAGCTGCTCCAGGGGCGGCCCATCGAGGTGCCCCGGGGCGACGAAGGCGCGGGCTCGGTCACCCTCACCTCCGGCCAGTTCCCGGTACCGGTCTACGTGGCCGCCGAGGGCCCCCGCAGCCTGCGGGTGGCCGACGCTACGCCGACGGCATCATGCTGGGCACCGGGTTCGATCTCGACGTGCTGGAATGGGCGCAAGCCCACATCGCCGCGGGCGCCCGGAAAGACGGCCGCGAGTTGTCCGATATCGACATCGCCATGGCGGGAATGATCTACGTCCACGAGGACGGAGACCTGGCGCGCGACCGGGTACGCGCCCGCCTGGCCAACCGTGCCCATCACAACTTCCGTTTCACCTACGAGACCGTGCCGCCGGACGAGCTCGACGGCGTCAAGCGGTTCATGGCCGGCTTCGACATCAGCAAACCGATCGAGGAACGGGCGGACCCCGCGCTCATCACGGACTACCTGCTGCGGCGCTTCGCCATCGCCGGGACGCCGGACGAATGCGTGGCGCGCATCCGGGAGCTGGCCGAAGCCGGCGTATCGCACGTGCTGCTGACTCCTCCCAACCGCGACTTCGACGCGGTCATGGATCTCTGGGGACGCGCGGTCATCCCGGCCTGCGCCGACGCCGGCTAGGGAAACTCCGAGCAATGGCTTATCGCCCTTCGACTCCGCTACGCTACGCTCAGGACGAACGGAATAACCGCCACCGTTCGTCCTGAGCATGGTTCAGGGCCTTGCGGCCCAGAACCTATGGCGATAACTGTGGTGACAATTTTTTCCGTTCGTCCTGAGCGTAGCGTAGCGAAGTCGAAGGACGCCATTCTGGCAGGTAACGAAAGGAAGGTCCCATGCCCGAGCTGGATCCCACAACCCTCACCATCGCGGGCGTAGCCCCGCGCATCGCCGCCCGCGAGGTCTCGCCGGTGGAGCTCATCGCCTGCTACCTGGAGCGAATCAAGCGGCTCAACCCCGTGCTCAACGCCTACAGCACCGTCATGGAGGACGAGGCCCTGGCGGCGGCGCGGCGGGCCGAGCAGGAGATCGGCAACGGGAACTACCGCGGACCGCTCCACGGCATCCCGGTGTCCATCAAGGACAACCTGGCGGTCAAGGGCTACCCCACCACCGCCGGAAGCAAGATCCTGGCGGACTGGAAGCCCGACTTCGACGCCACCGTGGTCGCAAGGCTACGGGAAGCCGGGGCGATCGTCCTGGGCAAGAACAACATGCACGAGTGGGCCGGCGGCGGCACCACCATGAACCCTTACTTCGGCACCACCTACAACCCGTGGGACACCACACGGGTGCCCGGAGGGTCCAGCGGCGGCTCGGCCGCGGCGGTGGCCGCCGACCTGTGCCTGATCTCCATCGGCACCGACAACGCCGGCTCGGTACGGAACCCCGCCGCCTGGTGCGGCACCGTGGGCCTCAAGGCCACCTACGGCCGGGTGAGCCGTTTCGGCGGCGTCGCCGGCACCGGCGGCTTCTCGTCCGACCACTTCGGCCCCTTCACCAAGACCGTGGAGGACTGCGCCCTGGTGCTCGGGAGCCATCGCCGGGGAAGACCCCAACGACCCCCTGAGCTCTCCGGAACCGGTGCCCGACTACCGGGAAGGCCTGGGCAAAGCCGTCGCCGGCATGAAGGTAGGCGTCGTCGACAGCTACTTCGACGAGCTGATGGTAGACGAGGTCGCCAAGGCGTTCCGGGACGCCCTCGCCGCGCTTGAATCCCTGGGCATGCAGGTGAAAAAGGTCACCATACCCCCACATGGACATGGTCCCCGCCGTCCAGACCGCCACAAGCCGGTGCGAGAACCTCGTGGCCCACGAGCCCTACCTGCGCAAGCAGCCCCGGGACTACAGCCCCGAGCTGCTGTACCGGAACATCGCCTCCCTCACCGTCCCCGCGTCGAGCTACGTCACCTCTCAACGCGTGCGGCGCGTCATCTGCCGCGAGTTCGAGGAAGCCCTCCAGGACGTGCAAGTGATCGTCGCTCCCACCGTCGGCATCGCCGCGCCCACCATCGAAGAGTGCAAGCAGGGCTTCGCCGAAATCGACGGCCGCCGCATCCCGTTCCGCCACCCCAGCGGCAGCATCGGCACCCGCTGCACCATCCCCTTCAACGTCACCGGCCACCCGGCCCTGAGCGTGTGCTGCGGGTTTACCGCTGACGGGCTGCCCATCGGCTTGCAGATTGTGGGTTCATGTTTCGAGGAAAGCCGGGTGTTTCAGGTCGCCCACGCCTATGAGCAGGCGGCGGGGTTGTATGGGAGGAAGCCGGGGGTGGCGTAGGGACCGGAGCAATCTAGTCTAATCGGTTAGTCGGAATCGGCGGGGTGAACTTGAGTTAACGTTCGTATCGTTTCTGAGTACGCTTACTTACCGTCCCTTCTATATAGCCAACCACGAAGCCTTGCCGCGTTTGTCAGATGTTTCGCTTTCGCCACAATCTCCGCGTTGGAATACGAAAGGAAATCAATCACGACATGCTCTGGAAACGGCTCCGGATCAGGAGTTACAGCTAACGCCTGTTGTTGGCATTCTTGGACGGTCAAGGCTATGACACCAGCAGATGTCAGTCCCAATTGTTGGGTGTAGTGGCGATACGCATCCTCGGCTGTCATCTGGTCGCCGTCATGAGCGGACAGTTTCTTCTTGTCCTTGGCGGTCGGCTTGAACGTCTGTGAGGTAACTCTCCCTTCTCGAATCCAGTGCGGGTTGACCTGTCGGAGCAGCAGAGTATCAGGTGTCATACGCCGACCGACATCATGGCCTTGATCTGGGCGACCAGCCACATCCAATCATCATCGTTGTCACAGTTCAGCGTGCGTTCGCGACTGTCGTCGGCCTCAATGTTGAGCACGTGCCATTCGCCCGCGTGGGTGTCGAGGTCTACGTCGAACGTGACCTCGTTTGGGCCGAGTGTCCACTCGGCTTGAACGCCGCCGGCTTCCGTGGGGTAGAGGTGCGGCAACGGTGCCTCATCGGGCAAGTGCCGTTCGAAGACGCCGTATAGCCAATCGAGTCCCTCGGCTGGAGGCGCTAGTCCTTCTCCATCGAGCCACCCGTCCTTCAGCAGCCGCAGCTCATCGATCTGAACACCAACATCGAGCGTGTCGAGAATGCTCAAGTGCTCGATTGAATCGAACCCAAGTAGCTGGTCGCTACGGCTGAAGCGACCAATACCCTGGAAAAGCACGCACATACCGTCCATGTACCCATTGAATGCCCTGAGAATCGTGTCGAGATGCTGTGGCGATGCGGGGGCCTGTACCTTGCGTCGATCGGGCAACAGAATCTCGAAGGTCATGTCGTCCTGGTCAGCCTCAGGCACGGCACCTCGAATCGTGATCTCCTCGGTGAGTTCCTTCACTTTGGAGGACGCGAGGACTAGCCGTCGTCGGATCTCCCTAGTGAGCCTTGCCGTGTTCTGTTGGTCCGGACTATTGAATTCGACGGCTTCACCGTCCTTTAGGCTTCTCCCGACCTTGTCGAAGTAACTCAGCGTCGTCTCTGGTAGTTCCTGGGGGAGTGGCTGCTCGTGTTCCGCTGCCCGTATAGCGCTGATGATCAAGTCACGGGCTTCCCCGAAGTACAACTGGTTGGTTGTCGGGAGCAAGGTCGGCGGCTCCGAGTGGAGTCGAATTTCCATGGCTGCGCTGCCAGGATTAATCGTCGCGAGCGCTAGGTGGATGTCCTTTGTAAAGCCACGGGGCGACCGCTGACGATCCGGGTTGTGCTGGAGAAATATGGACTTGGCGACTTCGACGATCATCTCTTCCAGTACTGCAACATCCTTCAAGAATTCCAGCGGGACGGAGTGGTCATCGTAGCGTGCTCCGACGAGACGCAGGCGCACGAATGGTTCCTTACTCATGGGATCACCTCCCGCTGTAACCTGGCTCCACAGCGTAGAACACAACCGCCTGCACGGATTCTCCGTTTATCGACGGATAACGTTTTTTTTATCGCCTCGCAGTCCAAACCTGCGGCCAAATTGTCGAGGATCGTAGCCACCAACACTCGGGTACCGGTGATGCAGGCCTTCCCGTGACAGATTTCGGGATCGACCGTAACGTGGCCTCGCCAATTCATGGTTCTATCCTACCATCATGGTTTCGGCACGCCAGCGTCGTTGGAACTCCACCCGGAGAAGATTCAGCACCCGCCACACGGATGTGGACAGCGCTATTCAGCAGTTAACCTTGCAATCCTGGAATCACGTGCCCGATTTACAAGGTCAATAGGCAATGGGGTGGCACTTCAACCCAAGGGAATTGCCAACACGCGCGTGATTGACAGCGATTTTGTTGGCATCGAAAAAGTCGCAAGCCAACGTCACGAACTTGAACCTGGACGCGAGCCCCCATGGCGCGTTCATGGTGTCCGGGCCAAACAGATGATTGGGTGCCATGGGCGGCAATGCCTCCTAAGAGTTTGTCTAACGCAGAATCCTAGCCATAGTCCCTCGGCGCACATTATGGAGCTACGTCAACACCTCCACGAATTCCGCAATCACCTGTATTCCCTGTTCCTCCACGTCAGTGAGAACGATGGGCGAATAGTCGGGATTGAGGGGCTTCAAGGTGATGGTGCTGTGGCGCCAGGAGTCGCCGTCGCGGACCTTCTCGCTCTCGTAACCTTTGACGGTATAGCGCTCACCGGTGTCCGGGTCGAGCGCGTCGCGGAGTTGGACGAGCACCGTCTTGCCGTGTCTGGTGCCGGTCACAGGTGCCGCGAACAGGCAGTAGGCGCCGTTGGGGATGGCGGGTTCCATTGAGTGGCCGACGACGCGGGCGACGAACATTCCCGCACGCAGACGGCGTCGAGTGTCGGTCGAGACCCATTCCCAGCCGTTGTCTTCGACGTATTGGGGGTCGCCGAAGGCGCCTGCCGCCGCATCGAGGGGAACCAGCGGTACGCAAGTGACGTACTTGTTCTCGGGAGTCGGTTCGACCACAGTGAACGGCACCTCCTGTCGGAGCCGGCCTTCCTGCGGCGCTTTTCTGTCGGATTCGCTACGCAGCCGCCGGAAAGCCTCCGATGCCATCCAATCCGTAACGACGTTCTGGAAAGGCGTGTCGTTCATGTAGCGGACGAAGATCTCTTCGTTCTGGTCCATGCGCTCGACGAAGAAGCGCTCGATCAGGTTCTTGAACACCAGCCCGAATTTGCTCTCGGGATTGACCGCCGCGGTCTGGCGCAGCTCGTCATCGGCCACAGCCGCTTCGACGATCTGATCGAAGAAAAGCTGATCGGCCTGGTTGAAATCCGTGCCAAAGCGTTCGTTGACGACGTCGATGAGCTGGGAGAGCGGCACCGACTGCTCGTGCGCAGCGCCGCTGCCGACCTCGGTAGGCCCATCCAGGGCACGCGCGGTGCCGTCCCCGAGTGAGATCGAACCTTCGCTGATCTTCTGCAGGCGGTAGTACTCTAGTTGCACGTCGTCGTCGAAGTCGTAGGCGGGGCCTGAGCGCCGCCGCGGCAGCTTGGCGGCCAAGTGTCGAAGGTAGACGTAGAGGCGCTCCAGATCCGAGTCCTGGTATGGAATCACTTGGCTGAGAAAACCGTAGAGGTTGCGAAATGCGTGCAGCTTGCCGCGCCAGAGCTCCGCTTCTTCTTCATTTTCAGTGTCCTTCTGAAGCGCGGCAAAGCGCGACACCGCCGGATCCAACGCGGCGTTCATGGCTTGGTGATCCAGGCACTCTGGCGCTGTCTGGGCTTGAAGTACACCGCGCAGAAGCGCTCGACTTCCTCGTCGAGATAGATGCCGGACGCATCGAGCTCCCCCTTGATCGAGTACATCCGCGCCGGATCGACTTCCTCGCCCATCTCGGCTCCCTCGTAATAGGTCTTGAAGGCTTCGCGGATCTCGTCGCGGTCGTTGACGAAGTCGAGAACGAAGGTGTCCTCCTTGAGGGGATGGGTGCGGTTCAGCCGGGAGAGGGTCTGAACGGCCTGAATGCCGGCCAATCGCTTGTCGACGTACATCGTGTGCAGCAGGGGCTGATCGAAGCCCGTCTGGTACTTCTCGGCAACGAGCAGCACCTGATACTCCTGGGTTGCGAAGTGCTCGGGCAGCTCCTTCTCCCTCACGCCTTCGTTCATCTGCACCTCGGTGTAGGTCGTACCGGGGAGCTTGTCGTCCTCGACGATCCCCGAGAACGCCACCAGCGACTTGATCGGATACCCCTTCTCCTGGATGTAGCGGTCAAAGCTCTGCTTGTAGCGAACTGCTTCGAGCCGAGAACCGGTCACGACCATCGCCTTGGCACGTCCGCCGATTTTGTGACTCGTGGCCGTGTGGAAATGCTCGACCATGACTTCCGTCTTCTGTGCGATAGTTGTGTGGATGCAGGTGCATGAAGCCGGGCAAGCGCACTGGCGGCCTTCTTCGCTCCACGTTCGGGTCGTCTTCACACGCCTTGAGAAGCCGGTAATACGTGGCGTAGTTCGTGTAGTGCTTCAGGACGTCGAGAATGAACCCCTCCTCGATCGCCTGGCGCATGGTGTAGCGGTGCGCGGGCTCGCCGCCGCGCCCGAAGACCTTGAACGTCTTGTGTTTCGGTGTCGCCGTAAAGGCGAAAAAGCTCAAGTTGGCCTGCCGGCCCGCTTGGCCATGCTGAGGAAGAGCGCTTCCATGGCCTCATCTTCCATGCCCTCCTCTGCTGCACGTCTCCTCGCTCTCCTCCCGAGCCTCCTCGCCTCCCAGCACTTCCTTCAGAGCGGTGGCCGTCTCGCCGCCCTGCGAGCTGTGCGCCTCGTCGATCACGACTGCACAGCGGCGGGTCGGCAACGCGCCCGTCGCTTCCGTACCCCGCTCCTCCGCCATATTGAGAAGCTGATGGGAGACGAAGGGAAACTTCTGCAAAGTAGTGATGATGATCGGGACCGCGTTCTCCAGCGCCTCGGCGAGTTGCCGCGAGCTTTCGTCGACCTTCCGCACCACACCGCGCCTGTGCTCGAATTGGTAGATGGTGTCCTGGAGCTGCTGATCGAGCACCACGCGGTCCGTTACAACGATTACGCTGTCGAAGACGCGGGCGTTGTTCGTGTCGTGCAGCGAGGCGAGACGGTGCGTGAGCCATGCAATGGTGTTGCTCTTGCCGCTGCCGGCCGAATGCTCCACCAGGGCATTGTGCCCGACGCCCTCGCGACGCGAGGTGTCCACGAGAAGGCGTACGGCTCGAGTTGGTGGTAGCGCGGGAAGATCATGTTCTCGACCTTCACCTTGCGTCCCTGATCGTCGCGTTTCTCTTCCACCTGCAAGTGTACGAAGCGCGCCAGCAGGT